AAAGGCAGCATGTCTGGGATCCTGAGGGTTACGCTGAGGGGCTGAATGTTACCCCAAGGCATCCTCAGCTGCAGATGGGTTAAGGGGTTCTGGCCCTGTCTGCCCTTCATATTTGGAGTTGGTGACTAGTTGTTTCCCCCTTTGATTTGACCCCAAGATCACACCAGAATATGAGCATGCACCTGTGAGTCTCAGATCACACCAGAATATGAACATGTACCCTCTGAGTCTCAGATTACACCAGAATATGAACATGTACCCTGTGAGTCTCAGATTACACCAGAATATGAACATGTACCCTGTGAGTCTCAGATGACACCAGAATATGAACATGCACCCTGTGAGTCTCAGATCACACCAGAATATGAGCATGCACCCTCTGAGTCTCAGATTACATCAGAATATGAACATGCACTGTGTGAGTATCAGATCACACCAGGATATGAGCATTCACTCTGTGACTCTCAGATCCAACGGCTCCTTTTCTTCCAGAAGATCTGATTTGACAAGTGTATAAAACCCATTATTTCTGAGAGTATTGGCTGTACACCTAATTACAGATGGTGCTGTGGTTGGCACCGTGCAAACACAGCTTGTGAGGGACTTTTTGTCCTTCATCGCCCTCAGCAGTTGGCACCTTGCCATCTACACAATGGACCATGAGCCATGGCCTGAATATGCCCAGAAAGGATGTGTGGCAAGATGAAAATATCAGGACAAGAAATGAAAGGCCTGGGAGTGTCTCAATGCAGTTGCTGTCCCAAAGAGTGTCCTCTCAACTATCATCTGTCTGTCTGTCTGTCTATCTGTCTATCTATACATACATACATGCACACATACATACACACACATACATACATACATATGTGTTTTCCAGCTCCCAGCTCTGGCCTGGAGAGACCCTTTTTCACTCAGTTGACACTACCATCTTTTTCAACTATATTTAAAAATAAAATTTCCTAATGTCTAATGTCTTGAATTAAAAAATCTTATGTTGTTAAATAAACTAAATTTCTAAATACAAAAGCAATGGAAAAAACTGTGTTCCTCCTAGCTGTTGTGCCACCAGCCCTGACTGAGAATATTTTTTTTCACCTGTCAAATGACAACAAAGCTTAAATCTGTACGAACTGAGCATGCCGGTATGAACTGGAGACATCTCTTTAGAGAACAGCTTAAAATCAAGTCTTAAATTTACATGTGCCAGGGCTGGAGAGATGCTCATGGTGTGTAGCACTGGCTGCTCTTCCAGAGGGTCCAGGTGTGGTTCCCAGCTTCCACGTGGCAGCTCACTTATCTCTAACTCCAGTTCCAGGAGACCCCAAACCCCATTCTGGCCTCTTTGGGCACCAGGCAACCACGTGATGAGAATATGTACATATAGGCAAAACACCCCCTCATCCCACATGGCATCCATACATGGTGTGCATGTGCAAGTGCACACATGAGCACATACACAAATGCACATGTGTATCCTCTTAAGCTAGGTGCCGTGGCACACACTTACACTCCCAGCACTTGGGAGGCTGAGGCAGGGGGACAGCTTGAACCCAGGAGTTCAGCGTAAGACCCTGTTTCACAAAGAAAAATGTTTGTGCCATTTGACCTAGGAGCTCTAATTTTTAAAACATATCCTGAGGATATTCTAGCAATATAGACAAAAATATTTTACTTATGTTTCTATGAAATAATCAGGCTATCAAGTGGCTCTGCAGGGAGAGGCACCTGTTGCCAAGTCTAATAGACCTGAGTTTAATCCTGGGGACCCCCATGGTACAGGGAAGACCTGAATCCCCAGAGTTGTCCTCAGGCTCCCACATGCACACTGTCACACCCAGAACCTCCCACACACAAATAAATAGATAAATGAATGAATAAGTGTTTTGAATAAGTATGATTATTAGTACAAAAAATTAAAGTATAATTGAGTATTATTCAATATAGTGTTATTCATTGAATTATTAAAATTTAAACTTATTTTGTTAAAATAGTTCTTTTAAGTATTGTTGCACTTTAAACATGTTTGTAGATCAATTTTTCTCTATATAATTATTCCTTTAAGTGAGTGGCATTATTTTTTAAGGAGTCATTTATTTTTTGTTTTGTTTTGTTTTACTAGTAAGATAGGATCTCCCTTATGTAACCCTGGCTAGCCTTAAACTCCCAATCTTTTTGTGTTGGCATAATTTTTAAGTAAATATTTTAATATAGAACATTTTAAGTATATTGTAAAAATAAGAACTACTTTCCCAATTTCCCTATTATTGGTGTGTGTGTGTCTACATATGGAGGTCAGAGGTTAACATCAGATGTCTCACTTGATTGCTTCCCACCCTATTTTTAGAACTATGGTCTCTGGCTGAACCCATTGCTCAGGATTGGGCTAGTCAGCTGACCAGCAAGCCTGCCATCCTCCTATATCTGCCTCCCTAGTTCCAGAGTTAGGGATTGCTGCCATACTTGGCTTTGTATGTGGGGCCTGGTAATCTGAACTCAGGTCCTCACGCTTGTGCTACAGCACTTTACACCTCAGCCATCTTCCCAGACTCACTGTTACTACTTTAACAACTTGTTTATTTGGATCAGGATATAACAAAGGACCACACATTATAATTGGCTGATTTCGAATGCGAATCACTTTAGGGTTCTCTTTTTTTCTTTCTGTTAGGAAGTTGGGTCTTTGACAGCAGAGTGTTGTCTCTCTCATCAGGCAGTTCTTGCTAATTGTTGTCTTTGGTAAAATTGACATGTTCGTCTGTCCGTGTCCCCTGTGGTCTTAGTAATTGGTCACTGTCTCTAGAACAGTGGTTCTCAACTTTCCTAATGCTGCGACCCTTTAATACAGTTCCTCATGTTGTGTTGATCCCCAGCCATAAAATTATTTTTGTTGCTAACTCATAACTATAATTTTGCTACTATTATGAATCATAATGTAAATATCTGATATGCAGGATATCTGTTTTGCAACCCCCCCCAAAGGGGGCTACCAGCCAGAAAAGTGAGAGTGGCGTGTGTTGGGGCAGGGGGTGGGGACACACCCAGCACAACCACTTCTCAGGTTCCTGAAATGCTGACTGTAGGCTTCTGGCAGTCCTATAGTCCAGCTGAGTTGAGCCTGGACTCATTTCTGGCCATATGCATTACCTTTTGGAGTTTGAAGAGTAGGAGTTTTCTTTGGACCTGACAATAATAAGGTCCTCTTTTCTTCCAGGAGGCTGAGAAGATGTTGGACATAGGGGGTGATAAGTTCCCCCTTGAAAGCAGGAAGTTGCTAAGTAGTCCTGGCAAAAATATCAGCTTCAGGTAAGCCCCCAAATACCACAGAGCTGCAGGATTCCTGCCACAGTGCTGCAGCTGCTGCTCTGAGCAGCCGTGCAGTTGGCCTACCTTGTCACAGTGCTACTGCTGCTCTGAGCAGCCGTGCAGTTGGCCCACCTTGAGGAAGCAGCTTTCCATTCTACTGTGTTCTGAACACCTGCTGTGTACCCTGCTTTGTAGGGCATAAGAAGAGAGGCAGGGAGCCAGCGTCCCCAGTGCCTTCTCCCATGTCAGGATGTACAGGGTGTACAGGGGGCTTTGCTGGTGTCCTCATCAGCCTTTATAGCAATCCTCTAAGGTTCATTAGCTGCTCTGTACATGTGAGGAAACTGATTAGGGGACATGCCAGGTTACAGCGCTGCTGGTACAAGGTCAGGATCTAGATGGGACCTCTCTGCTTCTCAACCCCGAGGTCTTCTCTTCCACTTTCCTAAGGTCAATAGGGTGTATCCTCATTTCCAGGGTGTCCTCAGCCTGCTGGGTATGTGGTGCCTACACTTGGGCCTGTCTTTAGTAATAGGCAGAGACAGTCTACTCCATTGTGGGTTGTAGCATTTTTTAGTCCAAGGAGTCAAGCAGACACTGATATTGAAGCCCAGACAAGCCTTATTTGGTGTCTCAGTCCCTTTCTCTACCAAACCCATTGCTCTCCGCAAAGCACAGGGCACAGACTGCCCTGTGTGTAGATTCATTCCTGACATCTGTGTTTGGAAGCAGCATACCCAGGCTGAAGAAGCCTGAGGTGAGGACAGCTAAAGAAGGAAGAAAGCCTGATGTTCACCTCATCTGGACCTCAGGAAATTAGCTGCTGAATGTTAGATTGGCTGTGGTTTATATTGCAGATAAATCAGAAATCTCGTCTTTGGTCCCTAAGAAGGTGTCTGTGTGCTGTTACGGCTTTGATGTCTCTGGCAGTGAAGCAGGATCAAGGCACCTTTCCCTGTGTGATGCTGGCTCTTCTCTTTGCATTTCAGGAGACCATCTGGCCCATAGATGGCTCTAGAGTAGGCTGGGGTTTCTGAGGACCAGGGACTGTGTTTAGGGTCTTGATTCTCTGCTCTTGTTTAACTTGTGATGGGGACTTAGCCCTGGAAGCTTTGGGTTTTATACCTTCAAAATCAGGACTATGATTAATCTCTGTTGCTATGACTGGTAAGCTAATAGAGTATGAAAGTCTTTTCTAAACTATAAATGAAAGAAATTCTGTTGTGTGAACAAGAAAGAGTGCCTGCCACTCAGCTGCAGTCAGTGAGTGGTTGCTCCTGGCTTCAGTGTCAGCACCCTGTAGCTCTTTTAGAGCACCAGCCACCACCTGGGACATCAGCAGCCTACAGCCCTGCTTATAGCCACCTCGACTCTTAGGTCTCTCCTGGCTGCAGGCAGACTGCCCAGACTCCATCCTCAAGCCACTCTTCCTTTTGTGTGGTGGTAAACTGGGGTGTGTCCTTCACTAATATGTTTGATATTCACTGCCTAAGCTTTGCTTTCAGATGTGACCCCTCTGAGATTAATATATCAGATGAAATGCCTAAAACTACAGTCTGGAAGGCTCTCAGTATAAATTCCGGAAACACAAAGGAAAAAAGGTAAAGAGAATTCGAACTTCTCATTTTTATTCACATCTGGCTTTTGAAATAATAGCAATAATGTTAAGGTAAGATGTACGTTACTTCGCCGGGCGGTGGTGGCGCAAGCCTTTAATCCCAGCACTCAGGAGGCAGAGGCAGGCAGATCTCTGTGAGTTCGAGGCCAGCCTGGTCTCCAGAGTGAGTGCCAGGAAAGGCTCCAAAGCTACACAGAGAAATCCTGTCTCAAAAAACCACAAAAAAAAAGAGATGTACATTACTTTTAGGATTTAATTTGCCTAGAAAAAAATATTGCTAACTGTACAGTAAGACAAATAAAAATAGAGGTTCTAAATATTTGGAAAGACAGATTTCTGTCAGTTCCAAGGGTAAGTTATAATTATTTTGGAATGTAAATGGCTTTATCTGTTTAGTTTCTTTAATCCACTTGGAGAAAGTTTCTCATTTCAGAATCTAAAGCTTGTTTCTGGTTACTGCAAACACAGAAACTGGAAAATTGCTAAAATCCTGGATCAATACTGTTAACACTAATAAATAATATGATAGTATTGGCTCAGACTTTAACCCACTTAACTTAGATCTGAAACGAGGATTTTACTAAACATAACAGTTTTCTTATTCTGCAAAGAAATTTCTCTATGTCATTTAATAATAGCATAGATCAGTTTTAATCAGATTATTAAAGAAAATGAAAGGATTGGAAGTATCTTCACCTGCATTAAGGAATGCTATGTGTATAAGTTACGATTTTAATCCAAACACCACTTACATTTAAGTCCTCAGATAGATGAAGGCAAAAATTCAAGGTCTTGATACATATAACAGGTTTTATTAAAACAAACAAGCCAGAAACTGGGAAAGCTCGTCTTGCTCCTACTTTGGAGCATAACTTGGCATTTTGCCTCTTCTGGCATTTGGCTCAGTGGTAAAACGAGGGTACTAGTGAGGTGGCCCCAAGGAACTACCGAAGTGCTTCTCAGAGCCACAGCTGCCAGTGTGTGGTGCCACAATTTCTCCCCTGAATGGGTTAAAATAGATCTGTGTGGAATGCAAGTGAAACACAGACTCTTGCTTCTCTCAGAGGAAAATCCAGGCAGCTGTGGAAATGTATAACACATTTGGTTATTTTTAGTTGAGAACTAGTCTACTTGTAAATGAACTTAAAATACAGCCAGATCCAAGTTATGGTGGTGTCTTCAAAGTATTGTGTTGAGAGCAGGCACGAGTCATGTGTCCCCTTTGCCTCACTGTAACGTTGTTATCCAGCCTCTTCAATTGAGGGTCTGCTGAGGTGGAAGATTTGGGCCATGAGGAGCCTCAGAGAAGCTCTGGTTTTCAAGAAAATGGTGAGTCTCTCAGAGAAGAAGCCAGGCTGAGTCTGGCCCCGTCCTTGGTCATCTCAAAGCCATGCAACACGGAAGCATCCAGTCACTCTCGGTGTGCGTTTTAGAGGACATCCGGCTACCTTCATGCCAGCAGCCAAGCACCAACAGGGCCACCATCAGGACGACCTCCTGTTGCTTCCTCTCCTCATCTTTCTCTTCACAACTGCCACCATTAAAGAGCCAGCTTCCCATTTTCCAGACATTTTCTCCAATACTCTCTGCTGGCCTGGTAAGCCACATGAATCCATTCTGTCATTGAGGTTTCCTTCTTAAGGTCCCTCTTCATGAACGATGACTTGGGGTGGTAGCAGAGAAACTGGAGAACGGAAGGCTCCTGGGCCCATTGCTAGCTGCAGGCTCACGAGCAGCCTGGGTCTTGGTTCCTTTTCTATTTGGGAAGGGGTGCTGGTTAGACCAGACACTGTCACAGGTCTGCTACCCAAGGTCAGCATCAACAGTGGCCACCACCAGAGCTGGCATGATGCCACTCACCTGGGGTCATCCGTATCACTCCCAGAAGCAGTCAACACAATGTTGGGAGACACTTGGAAGATGCAGGGCCAAGTGTGAGTCAAGGAGTTTAGCTAATTAAAGGCAACAACAATAGGATGAATATCTTTTCTTTCGTTTCCTTGACACTGGAGAAAGAGAAGGAGCCTGTTACGGGAGGAATTGGTTTAGTGACCAGGGAAGATTCCCTAGCTTGGGGTGTTGTTACCAGGTCTGTTTTGTCGCCTTCTGGGAAAGTTTGTGGGTAGGAAGCGGATCAATGTTGACTGTTTGTGGGACTGTTTGACATTCTGCTGCTGTCTTTTGAGGCTACATTGTTACTTTATCCTGAGACACAAGTGCTCATGGACATCTCCTTAGCTGCCTGGGTAGCGAACACCACCATCATCACTCAATGGACCAAAACTGCCTTCAGCCATGTGGCTTCCTCGTCACACAGATTTCTTTTTGTTGACAGAAGTTCTGGCTCTCAGATGTAAAAAGCCATGCTAAGAAATGAACTGTAAGTGGTGAAGTCAATATGGACATTAATTTAAAAGTATGTGTATTATTTTTCTGGGCCCCAGTGCTTACAGACCTCCCTTCCTCTGCGCACCGAGTGTGACCAGCAAGCTGATCATGTTGGCTTTCCACCTCCATCTTTGTACACAAGACCACATCCCCATACACACATCGTGTGCTTTCTTTCCCTGGGTGAAGAAGCGCTGAACCATTTTATTGCAGTTTGTACCCTTAGACTCTGAACGTACACTAAGGCATCTGGTCGTTCACTGAAGACCTTTGGGTTGAGAGGAACCCTGTGTCACCACCACTTCCCTTCCAGTGAGGACCAGATACAGGAATGATTTTCAAGACATTTAACAATTGGTACAGGACAACATAAGCCACACAGAGCAGATACTCTTTGTGAAACAGTGGTAGGCATTGCTATTCAATGCCTGGTATAGATGACTGCCACTCTGCTCTCAAATTCTAAAATGACATCCTTTGAAATATGAGTATTGCTCCTGGTTTGTCTGATCTCTATACACTTTTGAGAGAGCTCTGTTCTGTTTCAGCAACAGCCCTGGCTTGCTCTGGGTACCACATACTGGAACAGGCGGGTTCACAGAAATCAGTGGGCATTAATGTCTCTGGGAGACAAATTCTCAGAATGTATATATCATCACTTCAGGACAGATCTAATCACTGCAAGCCCTCACCCAGATCAGAATGTTTCAGAAGCAGCTTGTCAGTGGAAAAATTTTCTTGATAACTTTCCGGCCCCCTCCGGCTACTTCCCTGAACTTGTGTCTTTTTCATTGCTTTCATCACCTGGGAACACCCTTTATCTTGTCCCATCTTTTTCTTCTTGAAATCTCATGCAACCTTTGGTGTAGGAAAATTGGTGACTGAAGCAGTCACCTACTGCTCTGGCCTCAGTGCACCTGAGAGGCATGTAACAGTGAGGAGCCCATCATGCAAGGAAGCCAGTGACAGTGTCACTGAGGAAAAGGCCTCTTCCCAAGCACCAATGCTTGAGTCTCTCTGTACATGTGTAGCTGCTGGGGGCGGGGAGGGCAGGGGGCTGCCTTTGTTAGCTCTGAGCAATGCGGCTATGGGACCTCTGGTTTTTTTCTCATGCTGACATTTGCTGGGACCAGAGAAGTGGTCACCTCTTCTATGACAAGGGTAGCTTTTAGATATATCTTGAGTGTTTCCAGCCACTGTCCTGACATCCTGGTGATGTAAACAGCATGGAGGGAGGCCAAGATTCAAGAACGTGTTGGTAGTGAAGCCTTGGCTCTAAGGGAAAGGATGTAGGGTTCCTAAGTGGCCAGTTGCTTCCTGATGACTACCAGGGAAGGGTTGCTGTTGGGGGGAGGTGAAGACCTGAAGATGTATACGGTGCAGCTGCCAAATGTTTGGTTGTGTAACACACATGCAACTTGGGAAGGGTCAGGAGGCTCCCGGCTTTACCACTTACAGCCCCATCCCAGAGCTCCTTAATTCATGAAAACCTGCCTTCATGGTAGAGGGAAAGTGAGCCATATCTTCCCACAAGACAATGTGAATGGTTGTAATTACTCTTTGTCGGTGATGGAACAGACTTTTAAATTGCTTATAAGTGTTGGATAAAAATCTGGCATTGACTAAGTCGCCACCCTTCCCAAAGACTGGGGCAGTGATGGCTGCCGTCTTCCCGTCTCCCCTCAGGACAGTCTGTGGCTTGTGATCATCCTGAAGGGACAGCTCCTGATTCCACTTTATCCTCCACCCGCTCAGCTCTCTAGATGCCCTTCTTAGCCAGGGAAGCAGGGATTGTCCTTGTGTCCTGTCTAGCGATCCAAGGTTTATATCTGCAAGCTCAGGACTGGCTAGGGTCTCAGGCTCCTGGGTTTTCTTTAGTTTTTAATGAGCATCAGAGACACCATGTCACATGTGTCTGCCTTCGACTTTACCAGTGTCTCTGAAAGTCTTTTGCAAGAGTGACAGCACCTCCTCCTTTTAATTTTTTTTTCAAGACAGGGTTTCTCTATGCAGCTTTGGAGCCTGTTCTAGAACTAGCTCTTGTAGACGAGGCTGGTCTTGAACTCACAGAGATATGCCTGCCTCTGCCTCCTGAGTGGTGGGATTAAAAGCCTGCTGCACCACCACCACCCGGTTTAGGACTTTTTTGTTTTGTTTTGTTTTAATCTTTTTAAAATAATTTATTTAACTTTAATTCATGTGCATCGGTGTGAAGGCATCAGATCCCCTGGAACTGGAGTTCGAGCTGCCATGAGGGTACTTAAAATTGAACCCAGGTCTTCTGGAAGAGCAGTCAGTGCTCTTAACCTCTGAGCCATCTCTCCAGCCCCCTGGTTTAGGACTTTTAATTTTAATTTAACCGTGTCTGTGTGGGTGTTTACCTACATGTATGTCTTTGTACCATGTGTGAGCCTGGTGCCTGAGAAGAACAGAAGAAGGCATAAGATCTGGAATCAGGTTACAGATAGTTGTAAGCTTCCATGTGTGTGCTGGGAATTGAACCTGGGTCCTCTTCTTAGCTGTTAACCCATTTCCTGAGCTCCCAGAGGTCTTAAACTGTGGGGTAGGGCTGGTTTGTCTCTCACACTCTTCAATTTCCAAGCCCTATCCTCGTTGGACATTCACAGGCCCTACACTGGATGGCTTCCACCATCTTGACTTTCTCATGGTGGAAATCCTTTTGTTGACCCTGGCTGGCAAGTGAACGCTCACCCAGACTCTTGCCTGTTGTGCCTCAGCTTTGCCAGAACCCTTTATTTCTGTCCTTCAGTTTTCCCTGCCATTGCTCAAGTTCCCTCTGAGGGAATAATCATAGCCAGGGCTCCTGACGGCACCACCAGCTGAGGTGAAAGCTTCAAGTTGAGCTGCTGCTGGTGCCTCTTCTGACAGGACATGTTGAGGAGAGACTAATTAATCTTCAGCTCCCGTGTTTGTCTGTATTGATCTACATTCACTGTAAGCAGAAAAACACATTCAAAATTCAAATCGAAGCAGATTTTCTGTTATGACTATTTTAAGTGATTCTTGGTGCCCCCCCCAACACTCTTGCTCTGTGAGATAGGTTCTCACTCTGTAGACCAAGCTGGCCTTGAGCTTGCTGCAGTTTTCTTGCCTCCCAAGTGCTGGAGTTCCAAGCATGTGCCACCATACCTGGTTTGCCCTTGGTCTCTCTGAACATAATTATAGCAAATGGATGGCTGACTAGTTACAGTTTTTTCTTCAGTTACCTTTTTTTGTGGCCAGAAAAGAGGATAATTTTCATAAGCAAAGGAGGTGTGAAGTGACTCTCACTGTTTGGAGTGTTCGAGAGGAATGAAGTCTCTTTAGTAGCCTTCAGGAATGAGTCATCCATGGGCATAATCCTTTGAAGAGATTGTGTGCACAATAGGAACGGAATGGTTTTGGGCCCTGAAGAGAAAAGGAATAGCGCCTTCCCCATATTTAACCCACTTGCAGCATTGGCAAATACAGAGCGCTCTCCCTCGATCATGTTTTCTGAGCAGAGGGAGAACCCCCACCCCCACCCTCCCACAAGCCTTTCGAAGCTTAGGAGCAATCGGCTGGCTTGGGCATTGCTTATCAAGCTTCTGGGCGACTTCTACGGCAGGCTTTTACTTGTGTTGGCACCAGAAGCACCAACCTGAATGTGCAATTATTCCTTTTGTGAGAGAAGCCAAAATCCTTCCTGCCCCTCTCCACTTCTCTGAGATGCTAAGCCTTCCTCTTGTCTCTTTTCTGTCATTGATTAGAAGTAGCTGATGGTGTCCAGTGGAGAGTAGGGCAACCTTCCCACGGAAGGGGCAACTTGAGGTGCTGGTACATTCCCTCATTTTCTACGTTCTTCTCTCTAGTAGGTCTCATGTAGAGGCAGATATTTTTGTTTTAGAGATCCTAAAGTCTATATTTTTAGTGTAATAAGTGTACCCCCTCCACACTCCATGGTGTAAAAGAACTAACTGGGAATAAAATGTGTCATTGTGATTATCCCATAGCAATGTGTGCTAGAAACAAAACCCCCTTCTGGTCTGTCTGTGACCAGGGCAGGTAACTATGACAATGTATCTCTTAGCCCTGTGCCTGCCTGCCCACACTTGTGTGTGCTCACCTCTTTGGGTGACAAATAAAGTCTGTATAAACTGTTTGCTTCTGTGCTGCTTTTTGAGCCCAAGTTCAGGTTTTGTGTAGAAGATTTATGAAGAGGGTATAACAAGGTGTGTGTGTGTGTGTGTGTGTGTGTGTGTGTGTGTGTGTGTGTGTGTGTGTCTCTGCAAAGGACACACAGGTGTGTGTGTGTGTGTGTGTGTGTATCTGCCAAGGATGCTCAGAAGGGCTGTGCAGCTCCAACATACAGTCCTCCCGGTACAGCTCCGATGTACAGTCCTTACAGCTGAGCCATGGCACGGGCTCCTGGGGCCTCTCTCGGGGTCAGCAGGAAAAGGAAAGGGGGCTATTTTGAAGACACCCCTGGGCTATGGAGACCAAAATCTAAGCACTGCCCAGTTTCTTAAAATATTGATTTTAGAATCTGGCTATTAAAGGTTGGTTCTGGGAGAGTGGGGACACTTGACTATTTTAACTCTCAAACTTCATGGTTCAAGGGTTAGGGACAAGGGGAAGATGAATATGTAGAGTAGGAACAGAGCTAGTGGGGGAGTGAAAGAAAAGGGAATGTGGGAAGCCAGGCAGGATGCCTGACTGGATGACAAGAAAAGCATCCCCATGAAGCATCCAGTATGGACTTTCAGAGGTGAGAGTCAGCCATGCTGGACCTGCAGTCTATAGGCCTGGGACTCAACCAGCTCCCTGACTCTGCTGCCTTCTGGCTGTTTTTCCAACCCCTCCAGGGTGTGCATGCCCTCTGCCTTCTTCCCAGGGGTGTGCTCTGTCTGCACTGTGTAGTTCTAGTACTGGGAAAGTTGTTCTTGCAGGACACAGCCAGCTCTGATGCCTCGAGCTCCCAAAGGGTGGGACAGACTTTGGTGTTGTAGAGGGCATCGTCATTCCATACCCAGGGTTAAGGAGTCTATTAATTGGTAAGTCAAATGTCCTTAGAAAGCACCTGGCTTGTAGCAGTGGAGCCATGATAAACACGGAGGTCAGGAGTTCCTAGGCTAATTCAGCAGCTGCACCAGGGAGCTGGCCAGTTTCTTTGCTGCATCTTCCTCTTTTAGCTTCATCGTTACAAGATGGGTCTTGAAACTCTACTAGGGGTTACATTAGCCAGGATCCCTTCCACATGCAGGATAGGTGGTATTCTGGTCTCTGTCTCTCTCTTTCCCTCTCTCATCCTCTCCATCTCTCAATTTAAATAGTGGGGAGGATCCCAGAAGCAGCCCACACAGCACTGGCCAGATCAGTTCACATGCCTGTCTCTTAAGGTGGGAAAACAAGGGATCGGCACTCACTCCCCTGGTCATGTGCTATCCTAACACCTGTACAAAATCAGCATTCTGTAGCTGGTGATCCCAGGAGATGCTGAACTGTGGAGCCCCTTGTAGGGCTGGACCCCGCTGAAGAGAACAGCAGGAGCTCTCTGCACCAAGATTATCTCTTCTCCACCCTGAGGAGACTTCCATCCTCCCAGTACCCACATGAAATAAACAGATGCTCCCAGGGCACAGGTGCTGGAATCTCCAGGTGGTCCCACCCTGCAGCAGGTCCGAGTATCAGCTGCTAGAGTGCCTCACCTTTGCTGTGGCTCAGTGCTTGCTGCCCGGCTTCGCTTCCAGCTAGCTTGTTCCCACCCAGTTCTAGAATGTTCCCCTGCATTTGAGCTGTTGCCCAGACTCTCGCAGCCTTACCACCTCCAGATCCTTCCAGCTCCAACCCCCACAGCTCCAAGCTCCACTATCCCTGCACTTCCAAAACGATTCCCAAGCCTGACAATGCTGTGGGTCCCCACTTATCATTTTTTCAGTAGGCCACCGTGTAGGGCCCTGACAGCTCGGGCCGTGGGAGAAAGGTGTGGGTGAAGCCGTAAAGAGCAGGGTTGTGGGGCAGCAGAGATGGCTCAGCAGTTAGGGGCACTGGCTGCTCTTCCTGGAACCCACATGGCATCTCACAGCCATCTGTAACTCCATCCAGGGGATCTGAAGCCTACCTCTGGCCTCCACAAGTACCAGGCACACTTGTGATACACAGACATACATGCATGCAAGTACCCATACACATAAAATAAAAAATTAAAAAAAAAAAAACATGGCTGTGTAGGACTGTGATTGTCACTGTCCCTCAGGAGGCAAGAGTCCAAGAGGCACAGTAATGATGTGCTCACTTACCTTAGTCATGGCCAAAGGCCATTCTCCAGGTTCCAGCTGGGACACAATATTCCCTGTTTACATTTGGTTGGGTTTAATTGTAGGGGTACACGGGCACATGCTTGCAGGATGCTACACTGCCCACTTACCAAACATGCCACGAATGATAACCCTCACAATCTAGCATTTCTGTTGGAGAGAAGCAGCTGTTGGGAGTCCAAGAACTGCCATAGAGACCCTCAGAAGACACCTGGTGTATTGCTGTCAATTCAGCCGCAAACTGCTGGAGTTGAAGCCCCAGCTCTGTTTTTCTACAGCCAACTGACCTTGGGCAGTTCGCTCCATCTGTGCATATTTATTCACCTGCAAAATAGGGTTGAGTGCAGTGTGCAAACGCTAGCTTCTTCCTATGTTCCCCACACCTCCTCTAGTCCCAGTGTGTCTCCCCACAAATTCTTGCCCTTTGTCGTTGCAGCCGCATGCTGGATTGGGCTCCCTGCCCCAGAATCTGCTCCAGGCAAAAGGGGTTGCTGCCACTGTAATTGGCTTTTAAGTGGTTTACATTATTCATAGGAAGAGACCTTGTTCAGGTCTCATGGGATACACATGCTCTCCGGCTTAAGGGTCTAGCTATCACTTGTCTTGTGGGGTCATGGGACACCAGTTCCCAGGTTTGTCAACACTTTGCCTGGAGGACAGAGGGCCATTGAGTAGGTTTCTCAAGCTCCTACAGGTTAGTGACCTCTGTTATTACCCTAACTCCAAAATCCCTCCATTGGCTAAGGAATCACAATGGGCTGTCCTCATCTAATTTCCCTAACAGT